CATCTCCGACTTTCACTCTCTGTTGAGTTTGTTCCTAACGAAAGCGCCATTGGAGCCCTTCATCGATAGGAACTATCCGAAGTTTATCTACTTATTTCTTAAATTCACCAGCAATGGCATCCAGCTCAGCTAGGGTTTCGTCATCTTGTTTTCGTAGTCTTCGAAAGGGATCTCCGGGTCAGTAACCATTTTCTTGTCTTTCCCCTTGCAACTTTCTCCATCCTGTTTTGAAAAAGTTAACTTTTGACGTGCTTGATGTAAATCTCGGTCTATTCCGAGTCTTTTCTGACCATAGCTAGACTTCTGAGCTTTTCATCTCTAGTATTATAACCCCTTTGTCCATTAATGAATATTATTTACGTTTAACAAACACGTTTTTGGTGGATCAACACCTCTTTTAAATGATGCAAATGATGAAAATAAAATGAAATAGAACAAAAATAAAAAGAGTTAGCGAGGTAAATCAAAACAATAATGAAAATAAAAAATCCTACCCCGCATGATATCTACCCCACATGCTTAGTATTCCTACCTGGACATGATCTCTATCCCGTAAGTTGATTTTGAACAAGTCCTAATCGCATAAATTTATAGTTCACATGCTTTGAACATGAAATAAAGCAGGAAATAATATCAAAGCAGCCTAGGGTTTAAATGAGGTTTTGGGGTGGGTTCTAATTCCCTGTACTCTCCCGGTTTAGGTTCTAAAAAGGTACCCGAGTTCTCCTTACTGGTGCCCCTTGGGCTTACCAGACCCTTAGTCCTAAGCCCATTACAAGCTTATGTGGACTAAGTTAAACTTGAGAGGAAACATTCCCTTATGCCCATACGGAGAATAAATTCTCAAGAGAGCGTCGCTTTCACCCCCACTTAAAACGGCCTTGGAGCTCGGGTTTAGAGCTTGAGATGAAAATTTTGAAAAAATTTTGAAATCATTGAGAAAAACGTCAGTACAACTATTTATTTGAAAAATAATCAAAATAAATAATAAGGACCAAAAAATTACCTTAAAATTTAAACTTACCATTTTCATTAAAAAGACAACTGGAAATTACCTTAGCCTGACTCACTTACCTGTCCCCAGTGGAGTCATCAAGCTGTCGCAACCGTCTTTCGGTTGGGACCGGAATTGGGCTTCGACGTGAATTGATTGGCTTAGAGTCGTCACCGACCATTTTAAAACGAATTTAGGTGGGTCGGACACCATTTTACCTGATCTGCATCTTACCAAAGATGTGTCAGGTTCGGGAGTCGGTTACAGTCAAGGAAGGATTAGCACCCTTGAACTGCCCTTTCGGTACTTTGTAATTTCCAGTTATCTTTAATTAAGAAAATTGAAAGTTTAAGTTAAAAGGGTAAAATAACGATCCCAAAACTTACTTCTGACTGATTGAAAAATGTACCCTTTAAAAGTCAAAAGATGTGTTAGATGGAGGAAAAAAATGAGAATAAATAATAAAGAAAGTAAAGAACGAATGAAATAAATAAAATAATAAAAAAATACATAAAGGAAAAAAATAAAGAAAAAATAAAAATGAATAAAATAAATAAAATAAATAAAATAAATAGAAATAATAAAAATAATATAACACTTAAATAAAAATAAGAAGATAATGCAAATAAATAAATAAATAAAACAAATATAAGGGAGATAAAAAGATAAAAGTAAAGATTAAATAAAATAAAGAAAATAAAGAAAAATAAATAAATAAATAAAATATAACAAGAGTAGAAATATGTAGAAAAAAGTAAAAATAGAATAATAATAATAATAATAACAATAAATAAAAAAATAGTAATATAATATAAATAAATAGAAAACTAAAAATAAAGAAATATAGAAAATATAATAGAAAATATAATTAAATATATATAAAAAAAATAAGAAAAATAAATAAATAAAATTTAAAACACGAATTGAATCAGGGGCTAAATTAAAAGAAAATCAAAATAAGAGACAAATTCAAAGACTAATTCGGGGTCAAAATAGGCGTATATGGAATGTGATGGGGCAAGCTGTGATTTTACCTTTTTTCTTCAAAAACACGAGGGTCACCCGTGTTATGGGTCGGGTCGATGGGGCTCCAAGGGCCAGGTTTATAAGCCAAATTTTTTTTAAATCTTTATTTCTCTTCCTTACGCACAAAAACAACCCCCTTCCTCAAAAAATTCTCTCGGTTGTTATTCTTTGAAAAACAACCACCGCTGTTCCTAGATTGCGGCCTCTGCGTTGCCTTGCCGGCCGAACGGTTTCTTTGGGATTGCGTAGATCTAAAAAATTAGATTAAAAAATAACCCTTTTTGTCATCGATCGAATGATTTCTTTGGGGTTTTTTGTGTGCCCAAACAACGAAATCAAGACCCACAGGGTTACATGCATGCACAATAATGAACAGGTAAGAGCTTGTTTACCTTTATCCTTTTCGAAATATTGAACAAAAATACTTCGGTTGCTCTGAGTTTGGATGATTCGAATCACTGTGTTTTTCGTAAAATATTTGCTTGTATTTCGTATATATTCTACTGTAAAATCGTCTCTTATTCATGCTTCGAATAGGTTCGATTACATAGTATTTATAACACAAAGAAATCCTATTTTTAGGATTTTGAATCCTAGTAGAACTCTAATACTGTGTTTGTTGGCTTTGTTATTTCCACGAAATCCAAACGCCGAGAAAACTGGCCGGTTAGCTACGTGGGAGGCGTGTTGCGCGAGGGTGCTTCGATCGGGCATTGCGGCTGGGGTGAGGGACTTGCTAGGGTTTCTGGAAACCCTAGGTAATCTGGGTTGGCTTGGAGCGGGTCTTGGATCGCGAATCTGGATCTGGTCTCGGGTACTCCTGGTGGACCGGGTATCTGTTGCTGGATATCTAGGCATTGGGTCCGCTTGTTTTGGGCTTTTGTTGGGTGTTATTTGTGTAATGGGTGCTATAAAAAACAAAATAAATGTAAACATTATTATTATATAATAAAATTCGTAATTATACAATATAATAATGTTAATCGGTCGAAATTTAGTGTCTACACATCGAATTGAAACAATTTCTTAATTGGTGAGATTGATTTGTGTTTGAGAGTGTTATTCATCAACAAGAACTAGAGTTCAATACAAGTAGTTTTGGAACTCATGCATGGACTCTTCCCAACACGTCATTCATGGTCTTACAAATTGATTATTAAAGTCGATGGGAAGAGTTGCAGGCAAATTGATTTTGATGATGTAGAAGTGAAGAAGAAGAAGAAGAAGACAAATTGAAAGTAATTTAACAGGCACTATCAATACCCTTGCATGAATGGCTTTTTCTGTAATCACTTTGGAGACCATGTTAATTTTTTGTTTTCCAATTAATCTTGTACCAATAAAAACCGTGTTGAAGGACCTTTCTTTGATTGTGAAATCCTTTTACTAAACAAGAGTTATATGCCATTTATAATAGTTCTGCGTCGTGTAGGACATCTCCTATTGTACAAAGATGATGCTGGAATATTCATCTATAAATTACCAGGAATTCATTGCCTTGTATCCAAGCAAAACATTATGAAATCCGAAAAATTTTAGTAGACCTTAACAACAATATATTTAGATTGCCTTGTATCTTTGCAAGTGTTCTTTCAAAGCCTGAACTATTGGTGATGAAGACAAGTTACGATGAAGAGAATGATTATCATCTTTATCGTGCTCTCAACTATTTTAGTTCCAATTACAGGCTTAATTTTGTACATTTCAAGAGGAAAATGGTAGAGGGAGATTCTAATTCCCCTTTAAGCAGTCCAACCTAAAACTATTCAATAATAGGTGAGGAGAGAGATCCAATTAAATTTACAAGAAACCCAATAATTATAATAGATTGTGGGATAATACAACTTTGACAAATATGTAGTATACAGAAATCCAGATATGTAGAAAAGTCAGGGAAACTTCACAAAGTTTCATTCTCTTCTCTTCTCTTTCCTTCTCCTAACCATATTAGCATCATGAGGTATCGATCTAGTTCACACACACAAAATGATAGATTAATACAAACTACTCTGACAAATTATTGGTGAAAAACTGGAACAACTCCTTGTTTGTTTTCTTTTCTCAGAGCAAGAATGATAACAAAAGAGAACAGCTAGCACTTCACCTTAGATACCTGCAACTTATGAAACAAGGTTTTATTTAAGCACCACATTTACTCAGAAACGTAATGTAAATGTGGCTTAAGTGATTACATGATCGAGTATTTTGCCAAGATAAGAAGACACTATAACCTGATGATTTCAGCAGCATAGGAAGTTTGAATCCCATGATGGAATCGAGTTGGACGAAGAAGCTTGTCCCTAGCAAAACAAAGCTTGGTAACAACATCATTCATGCCCATCCGCTCACTCGGTGATTCAGTGGAACAAGTGAGACCTATTTCGAATATCAAATTCAAGCATTGAAGACCGTTATTTCCCAGGCTGTTTTCATTGAGAGTGATGTTTGCAACTGTTCTTCCTCTCATACTCTCTTGAAGAAGGATGGGATCTATAATCTCAATCATTCGATGCGGGAAAGTTTCTGAAAAAAAGTTATGAAGACTTAAACCTTCTTTGAACATTTCATCAGTTGGTCTTTTCCCAGTAAACATCTCTAGTAAGAGGATGCCATAACTATACACATCACCTTTTGTTGACGGCTCGTTTCCCATGCCATATTCTACAATTAGTTCAACACAGTTTACATATACAAATAATTGTAGAGGAAACAACTCTGAATAATTGCGAAAGAAATGAATACATTGTAATTACCTGGTGGAGCATAACCAAAGGTTCCTCTTAATCTAAGGGAGCTTGAATGATTAGCAGGATGATTAAGCCTCTCTACAGAAAGAATTTTTGCTAAGCCAAAGCCATTTATATGGCCAACCATTTTGTCATCGAGTAGAATATTGCTTGGTTTGAGGTCACAGTGAATGATTTACGTTTCACAACGATGGTGTAGATATTCAAGTGCATGAACAACATCTATGGCCACATTAAATCTTTGAAAGAAATTCATGTTTCGTACTTGTCTCTGGTTCATTCATGGTGATCGATTGATGCAGCCAGTCCTCCAAGCTTCCATTTTGCATGAACTCATAAACCAAGGCTTTAAAATCATTGCCTTTGTAATCGACCCCCGAAACGGCTGTTAGTACCTTGACAAGATTCCGATGTCAAAGGTTCTTCAAGGCCGCACATTCAGCTAAGAAACTCCTCGATGCTCCACAATTCAGAAGATTAAGCACCTTTACTGCAATAGATACACCACTCTCTTCGAGAATTCCTTTGTACACATAACCAAAATTTCCTGAACCAACCAAATTATGTGTGGCAAATCCATCAGTAGCCCTTAGGAGACTTTGGTATGATAACTGCAAAAGTGAATTTTCTACACAAGTTGATGTTGAATTTTGCTTTCTTCTTTCTCAACCACAAGAAGAGGAGACAAGTTAAAACCAAAGTCACTCCTAAAATCACAATAATAATTGTAATTTTAAATTTAACGGAAGTGTTTAATGATTTTTTCCGGTCACATCTTGATAAGTGTAACTCAGGGATGCCTCCACAAAGCTTATTGTTTCCCTCAACGAACATAGCACTTACATTCTTGAAGACTCCTTCACTTGGTAACACCCCCTCAAAATCATTGAAAGAGAGGTTTAAAAACTTTAATGCCCCAAAGTTCACAAGATATATGGGAATCTCACCTGAAAGATTGTTGTCAGATATATCCAATGCCTCAAGGCCTCTCAATGAACTCAAAGATGATGGAATGGACCTTTCAAACAAATTGCCTTCCAAAAACAGTTTCTCTAGACTTGCACAACTACCAAGACTTTTTGGAAGCATACCAGATAATTTGTTGTGAGAAAGATCCAATTCACCTAGATTTTTCAATTTTTCTACTTCAACAGGAAGCTCACCAGTTAAATGGTTTAATGATAAGATTAGCAAAATAGTTAAGGATGGGATCCCAAGTACTTGAGGCGGTATTTTTCTACTAAGATTGTTATCAAAAAGACCCAACCAAAACAACATTTGGCACTTGCCTAGACTTGAAGGAATGCTACCTTGAAGATTGTTAAAATCTAAAGCAAGTTTAGTTACCATCGTTAAATTTCCAATAGAATGAGGAATAGACCCAGAGAGATAAAATGTAAAAGATCTTTAGCTTTTGAAGCCTCCCAATATCAAAGGGAATGGGTCCTGACAATTGATTTCCTGAAGCATCTAGAGCTTCTAAATTGATGAGATTTCCAATCCCATCTGGGATTTTCCCCAATATTTTGTTCCTTGCTATTTCTATTTGTAAAAGGGTTCTTAAAAAATTGGTAATGCATTCAGGAAATACCCCTCCAAAATTATTGAATCCTATAAACAAAAATTCTAGTTTGGTATTGTTGACTAAAGAGCAGCAAAAATTCAAATCGCCTTCTCTCCCATGTCCCAAATGGTTATTGGACAGGGAAATTAAGTACAGTTTATCCAGCTTTTCTAATGAAGGCACGCTTCCACTGAGTCTGTTATCATAAACTTGGAGTACATTCAGATTTGAGGCATTGGATATTGAAATCGGAATTTGTCCAGAGATTTGGTTTCCTCGTATGGAAAAGATCTCAACATTTGGCATAGTGAATTCTATGTCAGAGTGAAGAGTACCTTGAATCTTGTTTCCACCAATATCAAATGCCATAAGATTCGAGAGATTGAACATTGAGACCGGAACAATACCAGATATTTCATTTTCACCAACGGCGAAAAATGAAAGATTTGTCAGCCGTCCAAGTGCTTCAGGTATAATTCCACTTAATGAGTTAGAAGCAAAAGAAATTGTCTCCAGGGATGATAAATTCCCTAATGAAGGTGGTATACTCCCTGTTAACCTGGTGTCGTAAACCCCTAACACTTTCAGGTTTGACAAGAGACCCAACGAAGCAGGAATTTCTCCTGTTAGCTGGTTGTCTGCCATATGAAGCCATATAAGCTTTGAACAAGCTGATAAATTGGAAGGAATTTCACCACTGACGGAGTTATTCGTCATTTCTAATGTTTTCAGTCTTCTTAAATGACCAATTTCTTGAGGAATCTCGTTGTAGAAGCCGTTGCCCGAAAGATTCAACTCCATGAGAAAGCTCAAGTTTCCGATGTAGGGTGATAAAGATCCTGAAAGTTTGAGGGATGGCAGTTCCAACTTGGTGATTCTCGGATGCTTGCGGCCGCATGTAATGCCACGCCACTGACAGAAGTGAATGGAGCTATTCCAGGACTCCATGATCTTGAGCGGATCACCTGTTATCTTGGCCTTGAACTGGAGTAAAGCTTGTTGATCAGTGTCATTTCCTCTAACAACAGAGGTTGCTGTTGCTATATTAAGACCCTGCAAGTTGAAGCCTGTGAGAAGAATTGTAACTTCAACGCAAACAGGGAGAAAAGAGATGGACACTTCAGAACTCTTTCTTGATAGCTCCATTGAGCTGAAACAACTTCTAAATTGGTGAGATTTATTTGTATTTGAGAGTGTTGATTTGTTCATCAACAAGTAGAGTCATGTGATAATAATTGTTTTACTTCTAAATAAAGTTAAGTTACCCAGTTATTTCTTTGAGGAAAAAGAACAGGAATTTGATTTCCATAATCATCCTATAGCTGATGGGTCATTGGGTCAATAAAGAAAGGAAAAAATAATGACATTTTTCTATGGTCACTTTGGAGACCATGCTATATGATTTGTAACAGTTCTGCGTCGTGTAGGACCTCATCTCCCACTACACATGCATGATTTGGACCAATTTTTGTATAGTCAAGTAATAATTTTAGAAAATATGTCGTCTCGATTTTTCCAAGTTACTATCCTAAATTTGATATTTAGTGTGTTATCTCTTACATCTCTTTGTAAACAATTGCATTGATATTCACATTTTGCACTGATTAATATATGTTTGCGAGCATTTTTGATGCGTTTGCATTTTATAGTATGTGCTCTCTACCCGAGTTCTGTTCATTCTAAATGGGAATAAATGATATGCCTTCATGAGTTCATCTCTCCAATATAAGTTAGTGAGTTACTTTCATGGTGTATATGTTCTATATCTTTGTGAGATTGTATTTTTGTTCATATATAGGAAAATGTATCCTCTTCGATTTTACTCTATCCACATGAATCTATAATAAGTGAAGATTGGGGTCTTACTAGCCTTACTAGGCGACATTAAGGACAATTCAAATCTCTCTTCTAGAACTCCTACATATAATGGACCATAGGTGGCCACCTCAATTAGAGCCATGATGAACCTTTACCGATTAGGGAGTTTCGATGGTGTTTAGGATTTTAATAATTGATGGAGAAACTCTCAAGTATGAAAATTATTACAATTTAATGAGATTTGAATGGTGAGGGAGGTTTAATTGAGTTTGGGGCTTGAATGAAATGATGGTGTAACTCTTGAGTATGATAAATGTTGTGTCTAGTAGCAACCATAATTGGAAGAAAGCCAAATGGTGATGGCATGTTCAAAAGGAGACTGGTGACTTCTAATAGTCTAAGAAACTTAAGGTATTTTTTTTTTGTGGAGAAGATGACTGTTGAACCATGTTTTATAATATTTTGATATAACAAATTAAGGAAAAATATTTTTGGACTTGTTTGAATTTATTCAAAGTTTTCAAAAATAATTCAAAGTCCAATAAACTTGAATTTGAGCAAAAATGTTTTTCTGTACAAGTAGTACAAATATTGTTCTTATAGTATTGATACTATATGAACAGTACCGATACTATTCATATGGTACCAATACCAAAGGTAAGAGAAGTATCAATACTTGCTAGGTAGTATCGATACTACCAGTGTTTTCCAAATAGCTCAAATTCCATAATGCAAAATAAGTACCAATACCCTAAGGGTATTGATACTACTTTACATAGTAGTATTGATAGCATAGGCTTAATATCGATATCGTCAGGCCCAACGACTAGTTTTATTTAAATATTAAAAAGGTAATATCGATACTCCCTGTAGGAGTATGGATAACCTCTGTTATGAGCAGTTTAATTTTGCATGAAATTTGTTCTCCAACGGCTCCAAATCATCCCCAACAGCTAGAAACGACAAAAAATATTACAACATGTAAATACAAGTTGAGGACACTTGAAGAAGGTTAAAACACCCATCCAAGCAATCAAACACAAGAGAAAATATTTTTCACTCTTTATTTTATTTCTCTTGTAAATATTGTGTTTTTGTGAGCTTTAATTTTGTAAACACCTTCCTTCTAGAGGTTTCTTTGTTTACATTCTTTTCCTTTGTATAATGAGTTTTGGTTCTATCTTAGTCAATTGAAAAGATAGCGAGTTTGTAAAGGTTATCTCTTTTTCATTGAAAAAGAAATAACAAATTAGTGAATTTATTGGAAAATCCTAGTGAGGAGCTTAGGTAGTGGATGTAGACTTTGGTTGAGAAAGTCAAACCACTATAAATCATTGTGTACATTTTTTCTATCTTTTTTTACTCCTTATTCACTAAATTATCAAAAAATCAATTCACCCCCTCTTGGTAATATTTTCGGTTGTCCAATTGAACCTCTTCGAAATCCCAATAGTTGGTATCAGAGTTTTACTCTTTAGAATGTTTAACCACCTTGAGACGATACTTAAAGAAGTTCTACTAATTTCCAATGCAATCAAAAAGATGGTTTCGACCTCCGGCTCTTACTACATTGAAGATTCTCAACCGGTCAATAAGCCACCGTATTTCAATGGAGCAAATTATGCCTATTGGAAGAATATGATGATGCTATTCATTTAAGCCAACGTTCTATTTTGTGCACATTCCAACTGACGAGATGGATGATTAGAGTGATGGAGAGAAATTCCAACTCAATGCAAAGGTTATGCACATTCTATTTTGTGCATTAGGCCTAGATGAATATGGAAGAGTCCCCTCTTGTTCAAATGCCAACGAGATTTGTGATAAGCTCTAAATCACTCATGAAGGAACCAATGAAGCAAGGGAAACAAAAATCAGTCTTCTCAACCATAGCTATGAGAATTTCAAGATGAAACTAGATGAAGATATCCAAGCTATGAAGGATAGATTTTCTATGATTGTCAACGATCTAAAGGGATTTGGAGAAGTAATCCCAAATGAGAAGCTCGTGAGGAAGATGATCTACTCTCTTCCAAAGTCTTTGCAATCAAAGAAGACGTCGATTATCAAAGCTAAGAACCTCAAGTCACTCATTCTTGATGAGCTTATCGGTTCTCTTCTCACTCATTAGTTGATGGTAAAGGAAGAAGAAGATGATGAAAAAAAGAACAAGAAGGAGGAGGTATGCATTGCCTTCAAGCCTACCAATGAGAGCAATCAAGATACAAATGAAGAGGTGGATAAAGATGATGAAGAATAAGAAGAGATGGCTAAGCTCTTTAAAAGATTTAAGAGATTCATGCCTTCAAAACAAAGTGAAGTATAAATCAATCAAAAATAAGAGTCCCCTGGTGTTCTTCTAATGTCAAAGAATGGGGCATGTCAAGTATGATTGTCCCCTCCTAAAGAAGAAGGGATCAATTAAGAAGAAGCCATTTGTGGCAGCTTGGAGTGATGAATATGACTCCAATGATGAATATGAAGTAGCTAATATATGCCTTATGGCCATCAATGAAGATTCAATGGTAACTTTGAACTCTAGTGAATTAAATTCTTATTCGTTTGATGAGTTACAAGTTCCCTATGATGAATTGTATTTGAAATTTGAGACCATGAATTCTAAATATAAGAAATTGGTTTCAAAATTCAAAGTTGAAAATGATTTTCTCTTAAAAGCAAAATTGGATTTTGAAAAGAAAAATGAAATTTTAAAAAATGATTTTGAGGTTTCAAAAATCAAAATCAATAATTTGGAAAAAGAAAATCTTGATTTAAAAGTTAAGCTTGAATGCTTAACAAAATAAAAAGAAATCATTTCTAAAAACAATTCATCTATGACAAAAATGACAAAATGCTCGCATTGCTATTTTTCGTTATCTTTTGGAACATACTTGATAAGTTCTTTATTTAGTTATTAATTTTCTTTTAAATGGCTCCATAATCATTGGTTTTTGTGGCTTAATAGTTAATTTTGATTCATTTTCTGTGCAGGACATTAGATTCTGAAAATTGCACTAAAAGGACATAATTCTGTAGTTTTTTTTTTATTTTCGGAATCAAAGCTGGATTAGTGGGCAAGACTTTGAGCATGAAACATCTAACAAGGTGATGACGTCAGTACCTTCTAGAAGGTCCAGTCAACACTTCTAGAAGAAAGAATGGATCAACCGCACGTTTCTGCAATTCAAATTTGAATTAAACTCATGTTTTAGGATATTATTTTAAATATTATATTTTATCTTATCTTTGTTTTAGGTATTCTAGTTTAAATAGTTTTAAGTATTTTAATTAGGATTTATTATATTTATTTTAGGATTATCTTTACCTTGTTTTTAGGATTTTGAAGGCTATAAATACCCTATCAGGGTAAGCCTAGAAACACATCTCTTAACAACTGAGAATTTACTATTCTTCTTCTTCTTCTTCTATCTAGTTTTATAAAGTTTTCTCTTTTCTTTTCTTTTCTTTTCAAGTTTTTTTATTTATTTTCAAATATGCTAAGTATGACTTTTGTCATGCTTAGCTAATTTTCTTTAAAGCCGAAGGCTAAAGCAATGGCTCATTCCAAAAGTGAGAATTGTAAGGAACTTAAATCGCTTTAGATATCTCTATAAGTTTTGTGGGCTTATTTTCAAATCAAAATGATTTTCAAAACTAAAAGTCGGTGTTGGTTTGGATGTTGTTATGGTTTATGTGGGAGGAAGGATCGAATTATTGAAGCACATTCGACTTTCTGTGAACACACTTAGCTAAATTATTTGCTAAGAGGAAACTGAGATTGAAAACATTTATTGTTGAAACAACATAATCTGAGTCGGCAGCTTTTCAAACTTTAACGTTTTAAGATCTACAACATTGTTGTTGCTTAGATCAACTCACAAAACGAAATTAAAGATTGCACTTGGATATTCGGTATACAAAGCATAGTCACAAGGATTTGTCCCTGTAGACAAGTAGCCGACGTGAATCTTGAAGTAATATTTATTTCGATGATCTGAGGAATTTGAGGCAAAGCTAAAGCCTGGGGTTGTTTTTACCATAAGTTTTCTTTATCTCAATTTATTTTATTTATTTATTTAATCTTTATCTCATTTTATTTCTTTAAACAATTTAAAAACTCCCCCACTTTATCTTTATCCTTATCTTATAATTATTATTTATTTATTTTATTATTTTATCCTTATATTCCATTTTAAACAATTTATATTTAATTAATTATTTTATTCTTATCTTTTTATCTTTATCTGAAATTATATCTTCATCTAAATCAAAAAGTCCAACACGAGAGTCCCTGTGGACCGACCCTGCTTCTCTATTCTACTCTCACT